ATTGGGCACGTCGTTGATGTGAATCAGGAAGAGAATGGGGCCAAGCACCGTCCCCTGAGGAACGCCGCTCGTCGACGGTACCAGTCGGTCAGGTGGCTGTCGACTTGCACCCTCCACTTCCGTCCAACTAAGAAGTCACGGATCCATTGGTGCAGCGAGCCTCCGACTCCGCACTCCCTCAGTTTCTGAAGGAGGATCTCGTGATTCACTCTGTCGAAGGCCTTACTGAAATCGACGTATACCACGTCGACTGACTTACGTTGGTTTACTGCTTGCAACCATTCATGCCATGTTAGCAGCAGGTTAGTGATGCACGAGCGGCCTCTCACGAAACCATGCTGTGCAGGCGTCAGGAGAGAGTTGGTCTCCAGTAGCTGGAGCAGTCTCTTCTTCACAATCTTCTCCAGAACTTTCGACAATACTGCGGTCAAACAAATAGGGCGGTAATTCTCCACTTTGCGTGTGTCACCGCCTTTTGGAATCGGTTTGACAACGGCGCATTTCCAGTCACAAGGCACGCAGCCTATGGACAGGGATCGGTTGAACAGGTCGGTTACAGCAGGTGAGATCACAGCTGACAAGGACTTGAGGATCAGCGGATGGAGACCATCCGGTCCAGCTGGCTTCGTGCTGTCTAGGCAGCTGACTAGCCCATGTACCTCCGCGACGTCGCAGATCAAGTCGGTTAGCTCAGTCGGTGCGGCGACGGCAGAGCTTGGCGCGCAGGTTTGGTTAGTTGCGAATACAGAAGCGAAGTGCGCCGCTAATGCGGACGCACGCTCGGTGCTTGAACTTAGTGGTTGTCCGTTCGAACCCACTAGCACCGGCACATTACCTGCAGACTTCAGGCGTCGCTTCACGTACGCAAATATGCGCTTCGGGGCAGTTTTAGCTGAGCAAGCAAGCTGTTCCTCAAACTGACGGCGTTTTTCGCGTCTTTGTGCTGTTGCACAAGTTTCGTTGTCGCTTGTATGCCTCATAGTCATCGGCAGAGCCAGACAGGAGGAACGCATTCCATAGTCAACGTCGTTGTCGAGACAGTCGGTTATACTCTTTGTCAAACCAATTGGGTCATGTAAAGCTCCAGCTTTTATTCCCATTAAATACAATGTTCCAATGTATGTTAAGGGATTCAGTGGAGAACCACCTGAATCGATTCAACCTTCTCAGTGTTGCACAACATGGATTCCGCAAAGGATTTTCATGTCAGACTAATTTACTTGTAGCTCGTGAAAGCTGGGCCGAAGCGGTAGACAGTGGCCACGCTGTAGACTTGCTATTTGTAGATTTTTCGAAAGCTTTTGACACTGTTCCACATCTTCGGCTCTCACTAAAGTTGAGATCTTACGGGATATCTGGTCGCGCCCTTCAATGGGTGTCTGCCTTCCTTGAGGGGAGGGAACAGTGCGTACGGGTGGGGCGTAGCCTTTCGCTCAGGCAAGCTGTCCTTAGTGGCGTTCCACAGGGCTCGGTATTGGGGCCATTGTTGTTCGCGATCTATGTAAATGACTTGCCGGGAGAGCTAGGGGTGTCATCATTAATGTTTGCTGACGACCTTAAGCTCTGGAATATTGTGGATATCCCGGAGGGTCCTGAGGCAATTCAGCGTGCCTTGGATAGACTCTGGGAATGGTCTATCTTATGGTTGATGCCCATAAATAGGGCCAAGTGCTCTGTTCTCCGAATCGGAGCTGCTAATCCTCCCACCCGATATGTTGTCGGCGGTGGTGAACTCCCTGTTGTCACTCAGCAGGTTGATTTAGGAGTCGTACACGCATCAGCACTTCATTCTGGAGACAACTGGAAGAAGGCTGCTTGTCGAGGGTTTCGTATGATGTGGTTTATCCGCCGCTCTTTCGGAATCTTAACGGCCAAGTTGTTTGTGAAGCTATTTTCGGCATTCGTCCGACCCCACCTGGAATATTGTATTCAGGCTTGTCCACCATGTCTTAACCGAGACAAAATGGACTTGGAGAGGGTGTTACGAGTGGGCACTCGGTTAGTGCAGGGTCTACGTGGACAGACGTATCCTGAACGCTTGCTCAGTTTGGGGATGTACTCCATGCACTACCGAAGGATAAGAGGGGACCTGATTCTCACTTATCGTATTTTGACGGGTAAGATTGGCCCGGACTTGTCAGGGCTTTTTAGTCCCGCTACGTTACCTAGTCTCCGCGGTCACCCACTGAAACTGCATAAACCACGGTGTGATAGGATTAGGACGGAAACTCGTCTATCGCGCCGAGTTATAGATCGCTGGAATTCTCTTCCAGATCACGTGGTTAGCGAACCTACGGTTAAGGGTTTTGCGCGCCAGCTCGATGCTCTTGAGTGGCAACAGCAAACCTTTCCTTTTTCCTAGCTGACTCACCTTCATTTTTCAGTTCTTTTTTTATTGACTCAAATATCTTGGTATTCCACTTGCTTAGCTCTTACCACTTTCTCTTTTGCCTCCTGCGTTTACTTTTTTCTCTTTCTTACTTCACGTAACCGACCCAGCAGGGACTGCTAGGGCAGGATATGTGGGCATTAATTGGTTGGACAGGGTGTGATGCGGTCTTTGTTTTAGGTCCATCAGTATTTCAAAGTTCGCCAACTCCTGGTTCAACGACCCGCCGAAGAAGGAACACTCACGGGATCTATCCTATCGTTCCAGTCCCGCTTGAACTTGAACTTGAACTCTTCAAGAAGGCAAGCTGCTACGTGATTGGAAGGAGGCGACTATTGTTGCCATCCACAAAGGGGGTTCTAAGTCGGTGCCTCTTAACTATAGACCTGTTAGTTTGACCAGCATCATGCTGAAATGCTTGGAAAAGCTTATAAGGAACAGGATCTGTGAGCACTTGACTGAGCACAATCTAATTCGAGCGGAACAGCATGGCTTTCTCAAAAAGAAGTCTTGTCTTACCAATTTACTGTGCTTTTTAGACGAGATTACCCGTTGTCTTGATAGTGGGATATCGGTAGAGGTGTGCTATTTGGACTTCAGTAAAGCTTTTGACTCCGTGAATCATCGATTTTTAATTGAGAAGCTGACATGGTTTGGATTGGATCCTCAACTATTACTATGGCTCTCTGAATTCTTATGTGGAAGGACATTCAGAGTCAGGGTTGGGGAAGCGAGTTCTAGTGTTGGCCATGCCTACAGTGGTGTCCCCCAAGGTTCGGTTCTGGGTCCATTGCTGTTTCTTATGTTTATAAATGACCTGGCTCCTCTTCTTGAGGATCCCTGCTACATCTTCGCAGATGACTTGAAGCTAGTCAGTAGGGGAAACCGATCGACATTGGCCAAGGACATCATCACTGTGGCGAATTGATCAAGCCAATGGGACCTACCTCTAAATGCCAACAAATGTCAACTATTGACTAGTAGTGGTAGTGGAATTGCAGTTCAATCTTCTGTGGGATCTCTATCATTGCGATGTACTGACGAAGCCCGTGATCTAGGTGTCATCGTAGCGAACAATTTTAAGCCTTCGGCACAGTGTCGCCATGCTGCCAATAAAGCACGACACGAGTTATTTCGTCTTAGGAGGGCGCTGAGTAACACTAAAGCAGAAGTATTCTTGCCCTTATATAAAGCAGTGGTCAGACCACATCTGGAGTATTGTGTTCAGGCCTGGTCACCGTACCTCCGGAGTGACATCATATGTATAGAAAAGATTCAGAAACTTGCGACCAGGATGGTTGAAGGTCAACGAGGGAAGTCTTACGAAGATCGTCTAAGTAGCTTAGGATTATTTTCCTTGGAGCGGCGTAGGTTGAGAGGAGATTTGATAGAGACGTTTAAGATCATTAAGGGACTTAGTGGTATTCGTTCCACCCATCTGTTTGAGTTGGCTACGTCAGACCATCTGCGCGGGCATCGCCTGAAGCTCAAACATCACAGAGCTCGTTTGGACATCAGGGCAAAGTTTTTACGAACCGAGTAGTTAACTACTGGAATAAACTTCCTTCTGATTTAGTGGAGTCTGAGACCGTAGCAGCCTTCAAAAGGGGCTTAGACAATTGTTGGTCCACCCTTTTTCCTGAGCTATTGTAGTTACTGGTATATGTAGTGTATCTTGATGCTGGCATATGAAAGTGCAGAGACTGCTCTTGTTCTTGCATCATTCCATTGCAGAAGCAAGAAATAATCCAACGTCGAAGTGCTGGAGGCCGATTCACTTACCGGCACAAGAACTGGACGCTCGTTAGGCGGAAGCCTCTATTGTCCATCTGACCTGACCTGACCTGACCACTTCTTCGAAACTGGCCCTGATGTAGCTTGAGGACGCCTACGATGTGATGCATGAAATCTAAGCACATGGAGCTCACAACTCATCCACATTCATTATGGTTACCGTCTTATGACCTAGGAGACTTATCCATTACGGCAATCACACCACCCAGGAGGTCTCAGTCGGATCAGTCGCACGCATCGTACAGGTGCTAACATTAGAATTCTGGACGCAAAAGGTATTTAGCCATTACTGATTAGTTCCTGATGTGCTTCGGCCCCTCACTGACACGTTGGTTTAAAGGCTGCATGGATCAACTGTTATCCACAACCCTCCGGCCTCTCTTTTTCAGTGGTCACTTCGTCAATGCTTAAAAATTTCAACAAGCAGTACAGCCTAGCCTACTGACTGGCATGTTCGCAAAATCCCGCAGCTATTCCTCATATAGGATATTGCAAGGTAATGACGAAGCCATCCGAGCAGGCGAACTTCAATCCTTACGTCTTATTTACATCTTCATTCCTTGTCTTCAGCTTCACATTTATGACTTACCAACTTCTTAGGTCAATGGGTCCGTGGAAAAATATTAGGCTTATGACCTTTGAGGTACACTTAGTAAAGGCTGTTGGTCTTGTCCTCTTCTATGCTTTTTCTCGCCATCCTATCCCCTCTAACAGCTGACGACATCATCCAGCCGGATACAACTGCCATCCAGCTTGATTTTGTACTAGATGCTTAGGATTCTTTAATCTAACCACCTATGATGTGTTTACCTTGCATTGCAGCCTCAAAGTTCTTTTGCGACCTGCCCCACGCATTGTATGCGGGACTTCGGAATCTTCGGTCTGATACATATCGCAATTGTTGTTTTTCTCGTCTTACCGTGAATTACCATTGGAGTTACATTTCTCAGATTGTGCGGGAGTCTTATCACATTGAATTTTGATTCGGCACTGCTACCAACAGAAAACAATGAGGTTGGATTTCAGGGTTCGTTTCTGTCTTTCGTGCTCACAGTTCTAGTTTACTAATCAATTCGGGATATCCTACTCCTCTGGAGACATTACTTTCACTCCCAATGGTTATGGTATTCTCAGTCCAGTGGGCAACCAAATCAGTATATTCGATCTAAAAAGGTAACCTCCACTACGCGTATTCACGTTTTAGAGACGAGTGCACTACTTTAGCCGTCAATTCTTTCCACTCCATCAGACACATTGCTATTTCCCCCAAGATAGCCCTTTTGATTGCTGTGAATGATGGTAAAGATTTTTGACATTTATATTCTTTAGCTGGTGAAGTGTCCATTGTCTCTTTGATTACCGGCTCGGTTATATCGGTTCATTCGTTAAGGCATCCGGTTACCGCGGTTTCCTTCAGTCCTGACGGGAGGTAGTTTCCTATTTGGCTCTTCCTCAAGACAGATTTATCGCTCTAGCAAAAGGTCACTGCGTTATGGTCTTTTTCGCCCCCAGTATACAGAGGCAAATTAACCACCTTGAGTTGTATGGAGTTTACTACGGTTTCGTTGATGAAGTGACTTCTCTAGATTGGTCAGACGATTCAAGGTATTTTCTTCGGTGCTCTTACACTCCATTTCAGCGTCTTTCTTGCAGGTAGCACGGATAGCAGTTGTAGAGTGTTTTCCTTACACAGGCTAAAGAAGTTAATAGTATACACCCTCTCTGGGCACCGTAATCCTGTTGTCGGTGGTTATTTCCAAAACTCATTGGACATCTTCACTGTCAGTTGTGACGGTGACGTTTGCATTTGGGAGGCCTCGTATTCTTTGCATCAGCTCAAGGAATCTGTCACCGATTCAAACGAAAAGGTTCTCTACCGGATGCAGAAAAGGTATGTCAATTATTTTGTTGAATAGCACCTGGTGCTTAGTTAGTTCTCCTCGAGGTCTGTTCGCATACTACCATAAAAAGCGCATCTCGCAGACTCTCTAATTGCTAACGTAACCATTAATTTACTTCACGTCATGTAGTCAACTGTGAGATCAACGATACGTTATGAGCACGAACTTCCAGTACAGGAACATTGAAAAGTATTATACTATCCAAGTAAATGGGTCAACAATTGCATGCAAAATACACTGCATAATAACGTTATCTGATTTACGCCCTCACCATCTTGGATAGGGTCTCTAATCACTAATCCTTACTCTAAACTAGTTATGCACCACACTGACAAAGTACATCTTCCAACTATTTACTGGTTTCACCGGTTAATCAAGCGGGGCGCATTCTCTAAGGATAACTCACCGAGATATGTGATCCACAAGCATGAAGTTGGTAGCCAATCCATGGGAGATGGTTTAGGTGCAAACAAATTCTCTTCCACACCAACGCGCTTATTGCCAAACTCCAACTGTCAGTGGCCAACACATTGTACGCTCCCGCGGTGATAACAATGGGGTATCGCTTTAGCCATGTAAACATGCTCATGTGTTTCTCTCTAACACTAAGTTATAACACTACACCTGGTGCCAGGTTAAATAGCCTCGGCTCAGCCACAAATGTTAATTAACCACGTGGTCGTTTACAGTTGGAGTGGCCATCTTCAACACTGTACCTTGACTTAGAATAAAAGTATGTACTTGTATGCGCGTTTCGGCAGACCACAATGTGAACGGTGCATAATGTATTAAGGTACGATTGCATCTGGGCCGATTGAGTGTTCACTGAACAAAACTGAAGATTGGGTGCATCATAAACGATTCTAACCTTCAGTAAAGTAAATGTGAAATTCAGGTTTAGTTCCTACATCACGTAATATCTTGGTTCATTAATTTGTAAAGCGCAGAGTAGATACTCTGCTTCATCTCTTGCTGCAGGGATGGGAGTCATTGCGATGCGGCGTTCCACAAAAGACCACTACGGTTGTATTTGCATTGCATGAGTATTACTTGTACAGCAAATGGGTGCCTGACAGTCGTTCGAGAGATTCCTTCCTTTTTATACTGACGATGACTCAGACAAGCTGTTCCAGTCGTGCACCACACGAGTAGGTAAAGCAACATCGGAGAGAACTCGAAGCCTCTCGATTTAAACAAATTCCAACGGTAGCCCCGTGTCGAACTATTAGCACGGAGCTGATAGGACTGTAGCTCGTTTTCCATCTCATCTGGTGCAAATTGCGTTACCACGATGACGATGGTATTCAAGAGAGAAATTCATCGGCTGAAGTCGATGGAGGCAATGCAGGTTTCGGAATCTCGGGACTGATTTCGGCCCACCGCCGTTGAACCTTCTTTATCAGGACACGTTAAGAGAATAATATGATTGCAATTCGTATTCAATAACCGGACGCACATGAGAAATGAAGCCAAGATCTCCGGGATCATTCGGGAAATTGACCTTATTGCAAGGAACCTTTTACTGACAGCCACAACTTTCCTCAAAGTCTCCTAGGTTTTGTGTAGATTAGAAAAGACAAGCACACTAAGGCCTCTACAACGGGTCGCGTTTCTGAGCAGGTACCCTGCATTATGATAGGCACCAAATGGCTTCGAAACACTTAGTTGATGAGCGGAACACGTATCGTGGTTAGTAGGTATTCTCCACTCTAGTGACTACTGCAACCGATCTAGTGTTTCTTGTAGCCGGTCAGCATCTTCACGCTCGGATAACTCCAGCCATTGCCTTATATCATTGGTATAAGTCAAGCAATCAGCTTGGAGTTTTGGCGGTAGCTCATTAATGAAGATTTTAATGACCCTGACGTAAATGACGGAACTCCTTTGGGACCCATTGATCACGAGAACAAGAGCGGAGAGAGGTTTTATTCATCTTCACCTCCTTGCTACAACCATCCATAAAGTCCGCTATCCAGCAGATAATTTTCCCAAAAGCACCAGTTTCCCGGAATTTGAGATGGAAACATCCATGAGGGACCCTGTCTATCGCCTTACTGAAATCGACAAAAACGACATCCAAGCGATTCCCGACATTTGTCGGTCTCGCCCACTTTTACCTAGCAACATGTAGGTTGGAGGTACACGAAAGTGGCATCCGGAAGCCACGCTGAACACTTGATAGGTTATTCAGGTTCTCAAGGTGAACATTCAAGGCTCCTCTAATAATCCCTTCAATACTACAAATTAATGATTTCAAGAACATCGGCCCATTGTTTTGGAGATCCTGACGATTTCCTTATATATAGGCTTCACGTTACCCAATTTCGAAACACTCGGTTAACGTACTGCATTGAGGGAGCGCCCGAAAAATCTCCGCAAACAGATGCTGCAATGTACTGAGCCACTCTGACGGCGAACAAATCAACACAATAAGTGCGAGCCCCCTATCTCGGAATAGGCAGCCGGACATTTATCCTCATCCCCATCATTACACCTTAGCTGAAGGTGAGAAACGTGCTTCAACTAATGTGCCGCATACCAAAAGATACGATGTATGAAAAATCGAGCCACTAAACATCATAAAACACAAAAAATAACAGTCAACATACCGCTTAGTAACATAGTATACTTCAAGACGCAGATCGTGGTTAGAGTTGGAAGATAAGCAGGGTGGGAAGGTAAAAGAATCTCGCAACGCAAACATCATTGAGATCGAGTCCTTGTCATCCAACCGGTGTATCCTCCAAAAGTGTTCATCGTCCTTCGGTTCCAGCTCGGCAGTCGGGAGATATTGACGCCAAATTCGAAGTGAGAGCCTTCATTTCTGTTGACCAATTCATCATTTGACCTCCCCTCTTCTTCCATCCACATCTCTGGCGCAAAAGCAACACACAACGCAGGGTGGATGCGCTGGCATGCACAACACGTGGCCAAGTCATCCTAGACTCGTGCGCAAAATAACGGTACCGAGCGGTTCATTCGCTCTTCCTGCACCAAACACGCGATCCCGAGCTCGTTCATTGCTCATGTGGTACTCCCACCATACTTGAGCGAAGGTTCGAATGCCGTGATGATCGCACATAACAAGCCTCCATAAATCTGTCTACTTTATGGGTCAGGTTTCGCAACAGTGCAGGAAGGCTGCATTGTTAACTCTGCTTTTCTTGGCTAGAGTGGTGTCGCGCCGGCGGCATAGGTGGCGGAGATTGGTAAAAGTGTCTCTAACTTTTACCGTAATGCTCGTGGTCTCATCTTGTATTCAACGGGTGCTAGTACAGTTGCTTAGATACTTGAATTTTTCGACTACTTTTAGCCGATTACCGCAAAGGGTCAGTGCAGGGCTTCGTACCTGCCGATCTTGGAGAAGAACTTGGCATTTCGAGGGTCCAAGGCATAGCCCAAAACGACCGATAGCCAAAGCTAATTTATCTATTTCTGCTTAGCACGTTTGGTTGCCGTTACAGATATGAGCAATGTCATCGGCATATGCCAAGAAGTCGCTCACCTGGAAGCAGCTCCACACCTTGTAGATAGTTTCCAGTGAACGCCACTTCCTTGATTTTGTCAATGGCGAAGTAGAGGAGGAAAGGTGACAACGAACAACCTTGTCTAGCACCGCTGGAGATACTGAGGGTCAGTGACAGTTTGCCCTAAACCCTCATTCTGCCCCAACTACGTGCGTAAAGCGCTCTGGTAATGTTTACTATTTTCGGGAAAAATTTTGTGTATGTAGACAGTGCCAAAGGACACATGGATCAACCGAATCAAAGCCAATTTTGATGGCGAGAAACACGACAACGTTAGGCCATTTAGTATATGTGATGGTGCTCCAGCAATTGACGTGGTGTAAAGATGTGATCAATACAACCGCGACTCCGACTAAATCTGGCTTTCACGGTTGCCAGAAAGAGGACAGAGGCGATTATCTTACAATCAATTAAATTCAGACTGATTCCTCTGGGATTACCACATTCCAAACTAGAGACCCCTTTGAAAATTTAGACTATAACAGTGCCGCTCCAGTCTGTTGGTACAGTTCTGCTCCCACAGCTTCACTGGTATGTAGTGCAGATCATCTACAAAAGCAGGTTTCCCGAAGTTAAAGTGAGCTGGATGAACTTCATCTGCTCCTGCAACCCTATTCATTTTCTAAGGTCTGATCTCACGCTCGACTTCTGCGCATGAAGGCGGATCCAGGGGGCGGCACAGGGAGAAGGCCATCAATGACCGGTAGAGAAACTGGTAACTGGCAGAATATACTGCTTGACATAGTCTTCGACCCAATTCTGCAAGCATTTTGATAAAATGTGGATTAGGTGTCAACTATACCTGGTCTTCTTCTGCCTGTTTCGCGTATCTGACGTAATAACTTCCAATGGTTACCAGGGACAGCGATCATTCCCATCTCTGGTACACGACGAGACCGCAAAGTTTCCCGGTATCACTCCAGTTTCACCCTGATATTTTTGCAAGCCTCGTTGTGTTCGCTCCCTGCCGGCATATGTCGGCGAGCATCTAGAAGTTCTGTACACTGCATAGAGACCCAATGTCCAGGTTGGCAATTTGGTTTGTCACATGAAGACATGTTTGCTGCTAATAACGTCTGGCGAATATGCGACCAGTGATCTTCTAATTTGTTCGGAGAGCGGTTACTCAGGTCGCATGCCAACGTACTTTGCTGCGCATTTAGAACATCTGGCTTCACTAATAGACAAGTATCTATGTGCTCAGCGTCGCCGCATGGGCCCATCGAAGTGAACTGTAAGAGTGCGTGGTCAGCGTCCTCGCTTGTACTCCAAATCGAGCAGCAGTTTTGGACGCAGCCTCTCCCGCGGTAACTAGTGGCGACGTGATCGGTTTGCGTCCATGGCTGGTCCGAGCCTGGTGGGCGCCGTCACCGTTCGGTGGGTCTGGCGTCTAACTACTTACCAAGTGTGTATGAGTGGCTCCAACAATGCGAAAAGCTCCGTCCACCACAGCTCAGTAGATC